TATTATTTAGTAGAAACAAAGAAGCTGTTCTGGATAAAATTTGAATTGTAGCATTACATTTTTATGCCTCGGTTTAGCATTGACTTGGTGGAAATAGGATAAAAGAGCTTAACATTTCATGGTGTAAATAAATGTTCTTATAGAATGCACTTGTGTGTGTATAAAATGAATTTGTTGGACATGCCTGTTGCCTGTATATTTATTTAGTGTCTAGTGCAACCAATAAAAATCACTATTGGAAGTTAAAGCAGCCATACCATGTGTACTTCCTTTTCTGTAAAGGACAAAACACAAAAAGCGGCAAATACAAAAAGCATAAAAGCTAGAAAAGTCTAGTTTAGTGTTTGGGGATATTTAACAACAAAGTTACAAATTTTACTACTCATTTTAACCCCTTATACACAAAATACAGGACACAGCATGCGGTAGTACATGAAGTGTTGGTTATAGCAGGTGATCTACAGTCCTGGTGTAAAGATGACTTAGCCAAGAGACATGTGCAAAGGTCATCTTAAGTAGGCTACCATTTTTATTGTTTTTCTTGGCCTCCTGTACTGTTTTATCAGAAAACACTTTTGTGGTCCAAAGCCTGGTGATTTGCAGACCTATTACGCTTAGTGTGGCCCAGAGTTTAAGCGGAAAGAAAGAAACAACAAACAGGTGGCATTAACATCTCAGGAGCCCTGCCCAAATAAGCCTGCAGACATGGAGACAGTGAACCATGTAAAATGTTTGACTCACGTCAAAAGGGTGAGAAAATGAAGAAAATGCAGTGAAGAGAAGAAGGGCACTTTGATGAGATGTTGCCAGAAAACAAGATGTTTTTATTTCATTCATATTCAAAGTAGCTAGGCACTTCACAGGGCTGTGGAGGATTTGATCACCAGACATTTAACAATCACAAAGTTACCGGTTCTCCCTAATTTTTTTACTTTCTCTTCTCCATCCAAGAAAGGGGAGAATTATAACAAAATATACAATATATTTATGTGCATTTACACATTTGGGGCTGCAAGTATCCATCTGACATGATTAGTTTGCTAATTGATTATAGTGATTATTCTTTTGATTATCAGCTTGTTGTTTAGCATGCAAAAGGCGTGAATATGCCAATTTTACAAAATTTGATTCAGATGAAATTAAAGTAATGCCAATTGATAATATTTACAGGCAATAGGTTTTTCATCAAAAATACAAAATGTACACATTTCCTGTGTCATGTGTATGTAATTACTGCTCTGTGAGGGTTATAAAGCCTCTTTTGTCACATGGTATTGGAGTCCATGCATACACTAGATAACATACTCTAGATATCAGCTATTCAATTGCTAGATGATAATATCAATAATTTTATGATTAACTTGCTTCAGTCCTAAAAAACAGAAGATGTAAGCCCTTCAGATCAGCAGAGCAGAGGTGGTTAATGTAACAAGGTTTAAAGAGAAAAAGCTATACATTTTTAATGAAATGGGGTGGTAGTACTATTTGAGCTTTGGCAACAGCAGGAATAAATAATCATTTCTATAAAGTTTTTTACACTGAAGGCTATGAAGAAGAATTCTTTCTTTCTGACCGTCTAGACACAAGGGTCATTTGTTGGACACCAGCTGTTCAGATCTGAGGACAGAGTTGAGGAAAAGGTGGTACTGATCTACTCTTCCAGATGTATTTTCCACATTATATTTTACATTTAGCTTACAAATTATGTTTTCACTTTTTGTATATAGAATCAAAATCAAAATCCAAAAACAACAACATAAATGAGAGGATAGTGTAACCCAATAATTTTTTGATTTTTTTGGTAAGATACCTATGGAAGCCCATTTCCGCCAGTACATTTAAAAAATAAAAGCTTCACAGGAAGTCATAATTATAAGTTTAAAAGTCATAATTATGAGTTTAAACGTCATAATAACAAGTTTTAAAGTTATAATTATGAGTTTTAAACCTGTAATTATGACTTTAAAACTCATAATTACAAGTGTTAAAGTCATATTAATGAGTTTTAAAGTCATACTTATAAGTTTTAAACTAATAATTACGTTTTAATATTAGGTTTTAAAGTGACTTTAAAATTGTAATTATGACTTTCTGTAAGGCTTTTATTTTTTTATTTACTGGCGGAAATGGGCTTCCGAACCTGAGCAGCACTGATGACATTAACCTTCAGATGATTTCATGACCTACAAATGTACAAGTAGAAGACAATAAATGCAACATGAAACAGATTCCTGGCAGTTTCTGTGCTCTGAAGAGCTCTAAAACGTGTTTGAAATGAATGATTAATTTTGAATTTGTGTGCAATTTCATGTTTGGTTTTATAGGGATAGGGTGGGGGTGGGGGTTGTTGGGGTTGTCAGGTGTTTGTGGAGGTGAGGGGCTGGGTCAGATCTGGTCTTGAGGTGTTGTTCAGTCAGCGGATTTGTCCTACACTTCTGCTCCTGTCTGCTCCTCCTCATTGAGCCTTTGAGCTGCTCACTGCTGAAGAGCTCCTCTGCGTCCATCAGATAGACCCAGGGGGTCTATTAGAATCTAAATCTGGATCGTGCCCCCGCTTATGCTGTGTAGATACAGTGTACAGTTATATAGATATCTATTTTTTCTTTTAAAAAGAAGCATTTCTGGAACAAAATTATTCCCTGATAGTGGGAAAGATGGACTGGTGTGGGTAGTGTTGTGTTTTAGTTTTTGTTTTCCTCGAGTGATACAGAAAAGAGGGAGCCGCTGTCTGTGTGAATATTCATGTACTGTAGCATACATCATGTATGCATGCATGCCAACATACATGAACATTGAACATGAACATTCTGTGAGGACCCTGGAGGGTCCTGGGGGGTTGTGGCCCCGCTCTTATATTAGAAGGGCCTCAGAGGGCCTGGCAGGGTCTGTAGATGTCTCGTTTAGATGCTGCGGAGGACGTGTGGTTTTACCACAGGAGGAGAAAGTAGGATCCAAGGTAAAACTAGATTTTACCCTATAGTGTGTACATTCCATACACAAGATGAGTACAACCATACACCTTTTAGTTAATAATCAATAATAACAAAAAAACAGCAAAAGACCTCTTGGCAATGCCTAATCTCATATGATCTCAGAAGCTAAGCAGGGTTAGTCCTGGTTAGCACATGGATGGGAGCTGGGTATATCAGGTGCTGAAAGGTTAAGTTTGGACTAAGGCAGATGCATTTACCTCAACACAGGACTTCAGTGCCACCAAGTGGACATTGCTGTAGCATCAAAAGTACACTATCTTTAAATGTGTGAGTCAAGGTAAACGCATGCCTTTGTCCATTTGGATCTAATAGAAAATCAAAGTGTTACCATTATATTCGAGCATTTCCACAGAGCAAAGCCATGTAAAGTGCACTTGTGAAAGTCTCTAGTAAATTGGTTAATATGGCTCCTGATTCATTCATCAATTCAGCCTATTATTTGCAATCAAAAAGTAAAACCAAGGAAGTAAAATCAAGTCTAGTAATTTTTAAATGACATTTGCTGTTTTATTTGTGGGCCATGAGGCACATTCTGTAACTGAACTGAAGATACAACACTGTACTCTCACATATTCACTTGTGTGGTGAAAAGATTTGTACATGAAACACTACAAGTGTTTTGATATATCTTCAATAACATGTCCTTTCTTAGTCTAACCTTTTTTATTTAATGCTCACTAACCACTCTTCATAATTTAGCCCATCCTCTAACTAAAGTAACCATTGTGACAGTTTCTGAGGCTGTTGTTCTATTGTTCGCTTCATCTACAGAAATGTCATTCAAGTTTGGCAGTCAAAGTCACTTTGAGGATAAAGATGGTATAGAAGAGTAAATTATAAAAATGCAATAGAGATGTCAAAGATGTTTTGAACAGAAATAACAGTTTGCCCAAGCTGAAACCACATTCTTAATAAAATTTGCTGAGATTTTTTTGGATCATGACTGTTAAGTTGGCAACAGTACTTTTAGGTGACTTCTAAAGCAAAGCAATGTGAATGCGTTAAGTACTACAACAATATTATTTGAAATTATTTGAATACAGAAAATTGACTTACAGTTCAAACAACGCAGCAGAGAACACCTAATCTACTTTGAAAATAGATGATTGAATCCTTCTAGAATCACAAGCTATATAAAAATAAAAAGTGCTCAAGCTCCACACAGACACATATCAACACTAGAAAAGCACTCAGAGAGCGCAGACCTCCGCCAAGGACTACCCCCATTTTTTATATAAATTGCGATAAAATCAGTCTTCTGGATCAGATCCGGATCAGCCTTTGGAATATGAAAGAGGATCCCATTGTCCATCCCTGAGTCAAAATTCATGGGGTTTGGTCAATAATTAACCGAGATATTGAGAAACAAATTTTTTGGCCCCATTTACCACAATGTTAACTAAAAATTCAAAATGATCCAGAATCCAGGATTTCTTCCGGATCACCCCCAAAATGAAATCAGTTCTTCCTTTTCACATTTCCAACAAATCCTGAAAATTTCATCAAAATCAGTCCATAACTTTTTGAGTTATGTTGCTAACAGTCAAACAAACAAACAAACAGACAAACGCCAGCAAAAACATAACCTCCTTGGCGGAGGTAATAACACATCCATCATGTGTAAATGCAGACAGAGTGCAATGACTGGCAAAGATGGCTTTATTTCTCTAAAGTTTTGTTTAGCTGGAAAACAAGATCATAAATCAGTGGCTCCAAATAATTCCACCTCACCCTGTCTACCACCTTATCTAAACATTGTGAAATTCACTTGTTTGACTGTACATGGGTTAACATTGTTAATTCAAAATTTATGGTAGGCTACACTTCATTTTTTATGGACAGGTGTTAACTGATGGTCCTTTTTTACCCTTGTAAGCTGGCAGAGGTTGTTCAAGAGTGGATTGATTCGTTTTAGCTCAACTGTCTTAAAATATTTGACCCAGTTCAGTGCCAGTTTGTCAATAAAAAACAATGACTTTTACACATTTTACAACATTTATTTGGATGTTTTCATAAATCAAGTGGTACAGCACAAGAAAATGTTCAAGACGCTCCAATGTAAACACAAGTGTCTTATAAGACGTCAAGTATGCAGTGGAAAATGGAGGTGATGCAACATTATCTGTGGTGGCACCCAAAGGTGACATGTGACAGTTCATTCAGTCAATCAATGGTACAGCTGAAGACATAAAATATACATTCATTTTCACATTACATTAACATCTTAAGTGTGCAATGATGTAAACAACATAAATGACCAAATGACCAATACAAGTCAACCACAACAATTTTCATAAATATAACTATGATATATAAAAATTGGAAAAATATGCATTTACATTTGTAGCAAACATTACACGGTCTTCAATAAATAGAAAGAGATCGGCTGTAGGCAAAATACAGTTTCAGAGACTACAATTCAAGCTGTTCAAAGATGAAAAGCCCTTGTAACAAAAACTGTAAAACCAACCATTGCACTGGGACTTTTGAAAATCATTACATAACTGCAGCAAATGACGTTTACTGCGCCTCATTTTGAAATTTATTTTAAAGCACGAGGCCCCAAAGAAAGTAGAGCAACAACAAATAATGTACATTTTAACACATACATTCCCACATTCAAAACTCCACTAAAACAGCTACAGTTGCTTTGGATGATGAATGAAATGCTGTTACAATGTTGAATGCCACAATTAGGTACTTATGGTGAAAGAAGTTATAGCAGTAGAAGTATTGAAGCTTATTAGTACATTAGTTCAATAGAATATACATTAGTAGCATACACAGAGAGAAGACTGAGAGCAAAAGCTTTGTACTCTGGGTTTGATGTTTCCTGTACATGACCCGTTAACTAAGCATCTATTGTTAAGTGAATGTTTTATGATGTTATTTCTTGGTTGTTATTATTATTATTATAGCTGCTTGTCCTTTGAAGTTGTGACCTTTAGAAGGCAGTGGAGACTACTGACTGGTTTAGACTGCTGTACAACAGTTACAATGTGTTAGTATCATACAGATTACACAAAAAGCAAGCATAGTTTCAAGCTGTACCAAGTAACCTCTTTGTGATGCTATAGGCATGGGAGAACTAATGCATTATTATTAGTACTACTAATGTCAGCCACAAATCCTACATTTATCACCAACCTTCACAATAAGGTAAAGCCTCTACTACTTTACTTCAGATTTGCTCAGTCTATTATCTAAACATAAAATATTTATATTTATGAAGGAATAAAGAAACAAGACTTAAAGAAGGATTAATACTATAGTAAGTTAAAAACATAAGGAGACAAAAAAGAATCCTGCAACCTATAAGTATTTATTGGAATAATATATTTACCATACACCAATCAAAACAGATCTATTTGTCTTAACATAGCTGTAAATGTGCTGCCGTCCCATGCCTATAGAGCACAATAAACCAAAGAGATTACTTTGAGACAAAGTGCACATTTTTAGTTTTGCCAATATGCTTACTACTTAGAGGTGCTTTGGAGGACTGTGGCTCTTTAGCCGCTCTTTTTATGGCAGTTTTGGTAGGCTGACCCCCTGCCTCTCCTCTCTGCCAGTCCTTCTCTACCCTCTTTGCAGTGAGGACCTCTCTCTTACTGGCAGCAAAAGCATGTTTCTCAGCACTTGTGGCTTTAAACCCAGCAGGCTCCTTCTTCACATCCGTCTCGGAGTTGGCCCGCACACGGCTCCTCCTCACAGGTGCCCTCTTATCAGTGCCACCATCTTGGGATGGTTTCCGTGCATTGCCGGCTGCCTGCATGTGTCTGAGATGGCTCTTTGCTGCAGATGGGCTGACAGGAGTTTGAGGTCCACCAGGACTTCTGCCTTCAGTGGAGTTAGTGCGTGTCTCACTGCTGCTTCTCTTGATGGGCGCCCCAGGTCTGGCTTTTCTCTCCATTAACGGGCTGAGTCTGGAGTGGCGCTGGTAGACATAGGCAGAGCAGGTACCATTACACAAAGGATATCGGATGTGGCAATGAGGGCACACAGGCAACCGTGACGCAGTGGCGGGAGATGGTGGGTTGTTGACAGGAGTGAATGGGAATCCTCTCTGGTTATGACGAACACCTTTTGGAGAGTTTAACCGGGATGAAGGTGCAGTGTGGGGTCTGGGCAGGTGAGCCAGGGTAGCAGAGGGGAACCCCTGAGGTCTCTGCCTTGTTCCAGGAGGACGACTACTTTCCACTTGTACTGTTTGGATTTGAAGCCACTCTAGCTGCAGCAGCCTCTCTAGATACTTCTCTAAAGGCCCCACAGGTTTTGGTCGAGGTGCACCACGACCCTCTGTGTGAATGAAGACTGCAAGCTGTCTTAAGCTCCAGCTGTTAAATGGAGGAGGCAGGAAATCTGGGTAGCTGTAGTTTGTTTTGTCATAGTCATCTTCTTCGTCATCTGTTTCGGACCCTCTTGGTCCCGGGAAGTCTGGAGGTAAGTCGAGGGTGTTGATGACTTCAGCGCGGAGATTGAGATGAGGAGGGGTGCAGGGAGTACAGGGGGATGGCAGTATAGGGAGCCTTTCCGAATCAGAAAGATCACTGGCGCTGTCTGTGTCGTCCTCCTTCTGGTTGTAATGTCGCTGAAGGGCCTCTGGGGTGGGGACAGGAGAGTGAGTGAGAGGGTGTGCTGGCATCTGACGTAGGCCTGGAGAAATTGGTGAAAGGGGCAAGGACAGGGCACGTCGATTCTTCCCCATCGCCCCACATTTCTGGTTCATATCGATGCTGCATTGGGACAAACGCTGGATTTCTCGCTTTTCCTCTTTTCTGTGAGACGATGAGTGCTTTCGGAGTTGTGGTTTTATAACTCCTTCATCTTCAGGGCTACGAGGGGAGGGAGAGCATTACCAGTAGAAGACATACTACAGGTCTAATAAAAGAGGTCAGGGAGTATGCCTGCACAATATAGTAAATATCACTGACATACATAGCTGAATGTGCTTTTTAGATATGCAACATCTTTGCCACAAACAACCTTTTGTTTAACTATGTATGTGGCATTTGATAGACATGGTCAGACATGCTTGGGATGTTGTATTTATTATAATTACCCTATTATGCAGGCTTCATAAAGTAATACTTAAGTGTGTAATGTACCTTGACAGCTTGTTTGTGTTCTTTGAGGCTCCAGACTTGAGCTTCACACCCTTGGAGTGTGCACCCTGTAAAACAATTACGTGGAAAATTAGCTCTCCTTTTACAGTAACAGTATAACCTACTGGAGGCCTTAATTACACACAGAAATAATGTACCTTTTGCACTGGTGCCACTGGGTCCTTTTCCTGACCTGGTCCTGGGAGGCCGTTTTTCACTGTCGATGCTTTCTTCACCTTGTTGCCTTTCTTTGAACTGTTGATACAGGACAATACAACATCAGCAACATTTGCTTTTAATACAGGACGTGATGTAACACTGCTTCTTCACTCACCTGGTTACTGGCCCCGCATTTTCAGTATTTTTCACCCGGATCTTATCTTTGGAAACAGCGCGTTTGAGGGTCGTGCCTGCTGTGCGCTCCTGCATGATGGGGCCCATGATGCAGGTCGCCAGCTTGGATGTTGTTGCGGAATCCAGTACAAATGAAAGGGACTGTAGCTAAAGAACCCAACCTACATCTCGGATCGGATACTCTATTCTCATAATTAGGCTAAACACAACCATTTCCCCTAAAGTGCTGCAATGCATCATGCGCAGATACAGAGTCAGGTGGATTCCCGCTGCAGGATGGATGGATAGACGCGTCTCGTCGCTCAGTCGCCGATGTCTTGCTTCGACACCTCTTTTCGTCTCGTGTTAATGCTGCGGTTTTAGTAAATGAGCCGGTAACACCAAACCTGTATGTTCCCTCCCGGTGACATCCTGCTCGCGATTAAAAATGCACGACAGGGAGCAGCAAACCGCGCATACGCTTTGTTTGGCCCTCTGTCAGATAGCTTTGTTTACCTGCAGCTGAGTGGCTGACTGCTGGCCACATGACAGCAACTATGAATCATGGGAGTTGTTGTCCAGATAAAAGAAACAGACCCAAAACCGCAACATACCGATGTACCAGAAGGATGTGGTTAAAGATTTTTAAACATCAAACACTAAAATGATAATTCTAAAAGGTAAACATTTTCAACGAAAGCTTGTAAGTGCACAGTGAGAGAGTTTGTCTCTAAAATTCCTCTATTTCCCATGTCGCTTTTGCAAAATTCAGTTCCGCGTTAGCTCTCCACTGCCAGTGTCCATTTTTGTAGATCTACAATTCAACATACTTAGAACATGAATGTGTTTTCTCTGCACATGTTTCTTATGAATCGGGTTACGTGAACGAGAACATCGGTAGACGCACGATGGCGCACAGACGCACTGCACAGACACATACAATACAACTTCTTTAAATGGAGGACCGAGCTCAGAGTGTACCTTTGACTTAGATGATACTGTCGCATGATCACATTGCGGGTGAGGCTTGCTAACATGATGCTCATTGACATTTTTCTTGTTCAAACGTTGACGCGATTGTTTGTATAGAGATACACTATATGCAGCCAGGCACGTACTCGCCTGGGGAGTGCACGCCCACATTTTGTGCTTTCACTATATTAACAAATCCATTAGTAGCATAACTGTTAATTGTAATTCTTTACTCATTTCTAAAATCTATACATTATATGTATTACTTTAGTTGTATTTATATATTTTAATGTTTTACAGGTGAGAAGCGCAGCAGCACCTGACAGTCTAACATGCATAAAGACTGGTTTATTGGACACCAAAGAATTTCCCCCTCAAAATCTGAGCAGCAGGACTTGTCAAGTTCCTCCAGCACTGCCCCCAGACCCAGCATGACGATCAACTTGACTCAAATGCTACGTGCAGAAAAACCCAATGCTGAGAGAACACCAGTGCCAATACGTCCCCCAAGCAGAACCACTGTGCCAAGGAAACATGACCCTCACCTCAGCCTTTCCTGTGAACCCACGCCAAAACCTATCATCCGCCGGTCACACTCTCTGCCTCCCTCCTCTGAGAAGAAGACACAGTGTAAAAATGTAGGCGTGAGGTTTGTTGACTCTTTGGGCCTTGATTTGGAAGATGTTCGACTTTTTAAAAAGGGAGATGACCCCTCGGTACCCCCTCATGTAACTTTTAGGTTACTTATGGGTGCTGAGTTGGCAGATGGAAAGCATTTAGAAATCTCCTTACCATATTTAAAACCAGTGTTTGATCAGCAACCGGGTGACGATCCACATTTTCTCCATCGCCTAGAACAGCAGAAAGTCTGTTTAGATAGAGTAATGTGTTTTGAACTTGGCATTATTGGGGATGCTCAGGTTCTCAACTTAAACTTTGAGAAAGAAGTCATTGCTCGCTATTCATTTACTGAGTGGAAAAGCAGCACTGAAACTCAGGCGACTTGGGTGTCATCTATCACCAAAATGTTAGAACGAGGGGGGCAGTTAAGTTGTGATACATTTCGCTTCCACTTGCCTGTTCCTCCGTTCCTTCAGCCTGGTGCTGTGTTGGAGTTTGCCCTCCGATACAAAGTCTGCGGTCGTGAATACTGGGACAACAATAATGGGAAGAATTACAAATTAGTTTGTGAGAATTATAAACTGTCAGTGCCCCGAGAGTGTGAGGATAGCATGGTACACTTCATTTAAGATGCTGATTGAAGTAGCAAAACAAAAAAGCACTATCTTAGCGCACTTTAAGGCCAAAAATTTAATGACTGTTTCCTTCATATTTTTTATAATTGAATTGTAGCACATGATTATTATGCCTTCATTTGTTTGATGTTTTTATATTGCTGCCATTTTGCACTAAATGTGATCAGCCACTACTATACTCATTTAAGCTCAGTTTCTCACCAAAAGGGCCCTGAACAGTGACAGTAAAATCAAGCTTAAATGCAATAATTGAATCTGTGGCACTCAAACCATATTTCACAGTGTTAATATGCCTAATACATTGTTATTCGTGTTCACATTTGCTTAAAATAAAACTTAATAACACATTACAGTTTGTGTCTTGATTCTATTTACGCATGCTTTTCTTGCAAATAAAAAGCTTACCATGATGCTTGTCTCTCCAACAGCACAGTGCTTACTGCGTGTAATAAATCATAGTAATAACGTAAAACAGCCTTCAGTTTCCAACAATACTCAACAAAGACTGCTACTGCTGCTAACCAGCACCATGCATCTATTCAAATAACACACGGACAGCTCTGTGAAATCTTTTGGCCTTTTGGGGAATCGCGCTCGTTCCGTAGGAGTTTTTCGCGCTAAATCGCAGCTGCCCAATCAGAGCCGTTCACTTGTAGCGGTACCGCTGCTACACCGAACAAAATGCGCTGATTACAAGTGTTTCCTTTTGGATTACTTTCCTTTTGTAAGTAGAAAAGGTTAAGGCATCTAATAACCGAAATACTATTTTACAGTTTTAGAAAGCTATACCAACATATAACTGCTGATATAAAGAGTTACTGTTTACTTGCGCATTAGCAGCTGTCATTTGATATCAACGTATCAGACAAGCTAAAGCTAAAGCTAGCATTTTTAAACAAAGGAATTAGCGTTATGTGAATAGTTTACTGTTAATTTTCAAATATAATTGTAGCCTAAACAATGTATACACGTTTTACACAAAATGTATAATTTCTGCTGCGGTTGATGATGCTCTCTCATTCATAATGATTACTTTTCTGTTTAATTAGTTAACAACTAGCTTAGGTAAAGTCAGCTAATTTCTGTCTTGCTTATTCTGCATAAATTAGCATGTTTGGTTGCTCTTTATAATAGGCAAAAGACTTAAATAGGCAAAAGACTCTAAAGTGAAGGCACATCATTTCAAAAGATGTCACTCAGCCAAAGCAATCGGGTATGTAAATTAATGTACCAATGGTTGAATTATGACAGTAATGCAACCACTGTGTAGCATCTTTCTTGTATGTTTGTGTTTTGTTTTGTGTAACAGTTAGAAACGATCCTTGAAGTTGCTGCTCAAACCTTGCATATCCAGACACTTAATGGTTACCTACAAAGGGATTTTGATAAAGGCATCACCATACAATGTTCTCAACAGATTCTTAACAAACTAGATAAATTTATTTGCAAGGTGAGATTAGTTAATGAAATTAATTGAATAAAGGTATTGAAATGACTGTATTGACATATGGTATTCAAAATACAAAACTAATTTCTACAGAGTTTAGAACAGGGCAATTCTCCAGCTGCCAGTTTGGGTTTTACTGTTATTTACAAATGTGGCAAAAACCTGAAACTACCTGGAGGCCAAGGACTGTCTGCACTAATAGCAAATGGATTGGTTAAAAAGATAAGTATTTATGTATCTATCCTATTGTTCTAATAACAAAAGAATAGTACATCTACATTTGCTATTTTTGTTTTCTGTTATGCACATGTTGCAGTGGTTTGAGAAGTGCCGACAGTTGTGGGTTCTTGGTGGTTCTTTGAGGGATGAGCTCTTGTTAAATCTAGCAGAGGACTTCTTTGATGCTTTAATGGTAAGCTCATATGAATTAAAGTGTATAATATTACAGTAATATGTTTTGTTAATATTTCCTATTATGTTTCCTTTATTTCTCGTTTTGTAGGAGGTTCATGATTCGGGAAATACAGGTATGAATAAGTTGCTACATGTGGTATATTCTATCTACTCAGTAAGTTTAGATTCATTATTTAGAAAAAAATATGAACATTACTAGAAAAAAAGTATTGGTTGTCTATGTAATAACTACACATATGCGAATCTTCATCGGACAGGAGCCGTTACAGTTACAGAGTCCTTTCTCTATCCCATTGGTCACATCGCTGTTGACCCCCGAATCTACATCCTGATTCAGAAAGAGGTTAGAAATGTGTTATTAACTACAACTTTGTGAAGATGAAATTTAGATGTTGTGTGTGAATCTATGTGTATTGTCCCATTTGACTATAATTCAGTATATGAATATATTAAATACACATTTGTCCAAAGGCAATACATAAGTTCAACCTAATTTTGAACAAAATCCCAATTGAACTGAGGAAAGATGGGAAGATTCTGCGGTCACAGGAGGCGGCAGATGTCATGTATATGATTAACTAATCATTTTAAAGATACTGTTACTATAGAGGAATGCTATTAACATGATAATCTTCATTCTCTTTGGGTTGTACAGGTCCAAACTGGCCAGTAGGATATTAGATGGTGGTGGTAAGTTGTCAAGCTCCATTTTTTATGTTTTGTTTTTTTAATGCATGGAAATCTTTATTATTATTATTTTTTTTTAAATAATGGCCACAGTCCTGAAATTGGTCCTGTAACACACTGTAGTGGTGATTAAAGGTTAACATGAAACTTGCAAGACTTTGTGATATCTGAACTCAGAAACTAAAAGTGGTTAAAGGCAATGGAAAGTAGTCTAAGAAACCTCATGAGAAAAATATCTTTGAAACACTGAATTGGAATGGTTTTGTTTCAGATTATGACTTCCAGACCACTCTGATGGAGGCTTTGTGCCGAATGGCCACATGTGAACAGAGGAAGCAGCTAGCAGATCACTGGTTCACCATGGAGCACGTGTCTGCAGCATTTGTCAAAATCAGAGACAGCGAGTTTGAGACGGTATTTAGATGTCTTTAGGTTATATTTTTTAAGAGCAAAGTTGCATTGTATCTTCTAATTGATTTCAGGATTGTCGTAAGTTTCTCAACATGGTCAATGGAATAAAAGGAGACAAAAGAAGGTGAATGGACTGTAATGCAAATATGATTAGATTTGCAAATATTGTCAAATTCAACAGCTGTAATTTACTCAGTTTTGGTCTTTTCTAAGTGTTTTCTCATACCCATGTTTGGAAGTATATCTGGACAAAAATGAGGTTAGCATGGCATCTATGTTTTTTTTTAGGTGTTTATTGCACCTTTTAAAATGATAATTTTTCTGTCTTAAAATAAGTTTTAATAAGTTAATGTTCCATTTGTCCATTATTCTGTTATTAGCTGTTGATGCCAGCTGATGAGAAGCTGGAGGAATTCTGGATTGATTTCAACACTGGCAGCCACAGCATCTCCTTCTACTTCTCTTTGCCCGATGAAGACACACAGGTGCAACAATATTGAAGCATTTTGCAAAATAAGTTAGTTACACTTAGAATTTCTTCATATTTAGGAAGGACAGTGGGAAATTATGTGTATAAATGAGAATGAAGTCAACAGTTACACTGTCAAAGGTAATGAAGAAAATGGCGGATACATTTGTTTAGAAATTATTTAGACTGTTGTTGTTTTGTTTTTGTTTAGAAGAGGGCAAGAGGAGGGTGCTGGAGCTGGACCTGTCTGAGGTGGTGGTCATGGGCTCTGTAGAGGGGTCCTCTCTTACTATTCACTTCAGCTGTGGTCTAGAAATCCTGCCTGTGGTTCAGAATGTTTTTGGCCACAATAAAAACACGGTAGGTCAACAAAACATGTGCACACTGTCTACCGTAGTAGCCGTACTAGTTGGGAAGAGATTCATCTCCAATTTCTTTCTCCTGAGCAAAAAGAGAAGATCTCAGAAAAATAAAAGAAGAAAAAAAAAAGTATACAAAAATAATAAAACTATTGGTTGGTATGATGTGAACCAATACTTTATTTATAGAGTTAAATTGAATTGAAAAAATACAACATTTTGGGGGGGTTGTGTCTGAGTAAACCTTGACCCTCACTTTGTTTACTGATCAGGTCTGGGTTAGTCAAACGTCCACGTGCTTTAGTTTACAGTTGTAGCCCCATTTGACCTCAGATGTCTTTAGTAATAGATCACTGTCTCCAAAATTAAAATATTTGAAAAGGTGTGAATAGACATGTGATATCAAGCCAGAATGCATTTAGTAAGTCATCAATCACTCAGCCTATGTAAGTATTCCTTGTGTAATGAAATTCATAACATATTTGTGTTGGTGCCAGGTCTGCCTCGTGTGAGTTTGTATGATCCAAGGGGCGGGTTCTAGGCTTGTTTGAACATGTGCTGTTTGTCTCAGGCTTTTGTAGGGAAGACAGGAACGTCTGTGGTGAAGACAACCGTTAAAGTGCTTATGGAGAACAGTGCCACCTCTCAGGTAAACAATGTAACAGTGGGCCCTTATACAGTATTTACAATAAAAAATAAAAGCTTACTTGTGTCATAACTTTTGAGTGTCAAAGTATATAATTATAATGAATCCTTTGCTCTCTCAGATTATCCCTGAAAGCCAGATGTCCCTTAGGGAAAGTGACAAAAATGTTGCTCCCATCAAGGTAAACTGCACTCATAACAAATAATAAATTACTAAATAGTGGGTATATATCATGCCACAAAATATAAACAAAAGGGCTGAAGTATTGATACCACAGTTACATTACAAGCAATACAAACCATTGTAGTTAATATGACAAACACACTGCAATAACAAATTTATATTATGCAACTGCAGCTCCCCATATGCAGTTAAGATTATGGCCAGAAGATGGCAGTGTAAGAAAAGGAAAACCAGCTGTTGTCAACAGTTTTATCAAAGTGTAGAAAAATAATTTGATTGAATTTCTTACCTATTGTAAATTGAATAATCTGAAAAAAAAAAAAGTTATTTATACGCCATGCAATAACATGTAGATGGTGCATACACATGCTAACAATGAATGTTACTTTTGACAAATGTTGTTTGTGACAGATGAAAACTCCAGCCAAAAGGAGGCTATCTGAGTCGATCACCTACATCAGCAGCAGTGGAGGTGGCAGTGCCAGGTCTGTCTCTACTGTTCTGCCTGCAGGTGTGTAACTTTGGAGCTGTTAAATATATCATTCATTATTGTGCTTTACCTTAAAAATTATATTTATATGTATATGTTTAAAGGCAGATGTAAAGGGAAGACCTCTCTGGAGATGGTCTGCTCTGTTGAAAGACCAGGACCTAATTACTTTGCTGAATTGAAAACAACAGCAAAGACTAACTCCACCCCTATCACTGCCAGAAGAGACAGTGGAACCCAACAGGTTTTCTAATCAATTATTTTTTACACCGCCAGGCTAAAGTTATCATGCAATTCTTCAATATATGTTTCTGTTAATATTGTAATTTTCAGAAGTATTGAGACTAACAATCATGAAAAGCACACATTTATGTATTGGCCACTTTTTTGTTTTTATGGATTATAATGTGGAGAACAAATGATATAATCCTCTTCTATTTGTGAACATCTTGATAGCAACAGATTTTACTCTTTACTGTCTTGTTTGTGTTTATTCTAAAGAACATATCTTTAACAAAGGCAAGAAGTACAGTTTTATCAGGACCAAGTGAAGACAAGCCTCCTCTGGGTGTGTGATCTGTCTATAATAAACTTTAAACCAACAATAAAATTTTCATATTAATTTAATCTTTTTTCTTTCTCTTACAGACAGTACTTTTGTGCCTGACTCACAGCCCACAACTGGCAGAAACATGTAAGTATTATGAAATGTCTGTAATGTATGCAGATGTATTCAATCCGTGTGAATAGGAACTCTCAGTCTTCTGGTGTTTCATTTTAGTTCATCAAAGTGGCACAAATATTCTGTCTCTGATATGCTGATGATGCCAACACAGAAAATGTGCTCCCTGCCAATATCTGGTAAGAACATAAAACAATTAAACATTATTGGACATGACTATGATGTTTTGGTAAGCAAACACAAAAATTACAAAACATTATTTTTCTGACTGAAACTATATAGTAATCTGTAATGATTAAAACAAAAAAAAACAAATTAAATGTCCAAATATTGTTTATGACTAATACAGAAATAATAACTAGACAATGGAAAAGGTGCAGGCGGTAGAAAACTAGACAAAGCCTGTACACTTACTCCCAAATTTTATTTAATGAGTGACAACATTTCTATCAATACATCTTCCTCAGGTCTTCCTCACGGTTCTCTCCGTGTGCCACTGTCATATACATTCAGCCCGCTGATTGGCTGTCATATCCAAGAATGAGCCACAGGAAGTGTACACAATATAAACTGTACACGAGGCAACCATTACCCAGGTCTAAGAAGTACAAAAAAAAACAACTCATGTTTGAAAAACTGTCTTTGATATATGCAAACAATGTAAAGGCGCAGCTACTTATACTTACAAGCTGATGACCTAGAGCAGGGGTCTCCAGCCTGTAGCTCGGGAGCTACCAGTAGCTCTCCACCTCCTTCCATTTCGGAATTATACATATTGCCCTGAATAACTCAAATTTGATTGATTAAATATGCCTAATTTGCTTTGTAAATGTATAGTTTTGATGGCTCATTTTGTACACTGATAACTGGATAATGGGTTATGTTTTATAGAAGTCTTAACTGTACCTCATCTTTGGCTTACCATGGCTCTTATATTTACAACATTTCTGGCGACCGCTAAAATGAGTAACTCTCTGGCATTGATAGCATATCACATATAGCATGATAGCATATCACAAGACGAGTGTCTCCAATGCACAAAAGTCAAACTGCTCAAACGGGAAGACATTGAAAACATCCTAAGAAAGCACTGGTACATTGTAAATACAGATCCATCATTGCAAAATATATTAGATTTAGACTTAGACAAACTTTACTGACTTTATTGAAGGGAAATTATTTGTACAGAGTAGTTCACTTATCACAATATATAATAAAGAGAAAAAAATATTAATGGTTATAATAAATTCTAAGAAGTAGTAAAAAAGATAGCAAGAGACAGGTGTGAAATAAGACATAATTATGCAAATGTATATGTACAAGTCAATAGAAAAAAAAAAGAGGTCATAGGAAGACAATGATATGATTATTGACAGGACATAGGGTTATCTGTTACATAAGGGTGAGTTCAATTCAAGGAGGCTCCATCTAGCACAGAAGACTAAAGATCTGAACAAGGAGCAACATTAGAAAAGGGGACCTAAGAAATCCTGTAGTTGCTCAGATGTACTGGGATAGAACAGGTGAAGAAGAAGAGGGGATATCAACAGGCTATCAAAAGTTTTTATATTTATTCCCTAAAAATGCTGGCCCCTGGTTGCTTGAATCAGAAATATGAAATTAATCACTTCTTAAAAATTTGTATTTATTTTTATATATATTGTATTTACTTTCCTGATGACAACTATTGAGTGTGGTATTATGTACAGTTTATATCGTGTGTACACCTCCCGTGGCTCATTTGCCAACCAATCAGTGGGCAGAAGGTATTAATGGGGGTGGCACACAGAGAGAACCATGTCCTGAGGAAGATTTAATGATCTCATTAAATACAGTTTGGGAGTAAGTGTTCAGGCTTTGTCTCATTTTCTTTGTCCACTGTAGTGGCTAATGTCAGTGATGTGTGCAGACCTACACTTCTTGTGTTAAAAGTGAAGACTAAACCTATAAACAAACTCAAATTAGATTTAAATTGCTCAACTAAATGTGTAATACATTAAATAGAATACAACTAAATTATTGTAAGTTTATTTTGATATCAATAATATTATCACATTTTGCAATAATATGTAATAGATATAATAGCAATAGTACTAGTAATAGTTTAAATCTTTTTTAATCTTTCAGTATCTCCACCAAGTTCAGCCCAAAAGCAGGCGTGCCCCTCTTCTGCACAACAGACATCTGCTTCATCCTCTGGCCCACTCCACCCTAAGCATCTCCATGCCAAGCTCACCAAGCGCCTGCAGCAAGTGCTGCATGAGAGGAACCAAGACGCCCCTTCTCAAAACGCCGTGGCCCAAAAAAGAAAAATGTCTGACACCAAAGAGGACTGGCAAATCAAGAATCCGACTGATGAGTGTGTGGGACTTGCTCTTAAAGAGAAAAAGTCTCAGAGAAACAGCAAAGCCAAAGCAAAGGGTAAAATCAAGCCCCAAATGGAGGAAGAGGGTGTTGTGAAAGCTCTAGGGAAGGCTGCAGAAGAGAAGATGTCCATCTCAGTCAAAAGTGCTGCTGTTTTGAGTAAAGAAAAGGTACAATATTACACAATACAAATATGGGGGGTACATCTTTGACACATAAATCTTTTTCCCAGAGAGATGAGGAGGTCACTGGTAACATGGTGAAGCACATCTCCAGTTATTATGAAGGCAATTCGCTGATCAAATTGAAGGGAAACAAAATCAACCAGTGTCTAATACCACCACTTATTGACAGGTAATTGCATTAATTACAGAAAGTTATTGCATACTACAGACAATATAACAATGAATTTGTGTTTTCTTAAAGACCTTTTTTCAACATGAAGTGGCACACGTCAATGGTAAGTGAGTTTATTTATTTGTATGAAAATGAGACAATGTAAAAGGTAAATATTTTGTTTTTGTTTCAGGGAAATGTCAGAACTTTGGCCAAGTCAAACAGCAAACACAGCAAAGAAAACAACAAGTCTACAAGACAAAGGTAACATTTTAAGTGAATCATTTACTTTTTTTCTGAAACTAAACTTTTCTCTTGTTGTTCAGAAAAGATGTTTTTGCCTTCAGCGTTGATACACCACAAAGTATTGGGGTAAACAGTAATACTGATTTTAAAAAAATTTGTATTCATCTTGTTTAGGCATAACTGAAATCTTTTATTACAGAGAAACAAAGCCATCACATCCTCTACATGCATCAGGTATGTGTTACATAAATGGTATAGTTTTTGCATTTTGTTTGATAAGCTTCACTTGTTTCTATTTTGTACAGAAGTGTCACAGATGAAGAGTCAAGACTTCCCAGCACAAAGAAAAAGGAACAGCCACCCCCCAAAGTATTCTCCTCTATATAAGTCTAATTTGATTTGGTGCATAATCCTGAAACTATCAACAACAGCAAAAAAGATTTCTGTAAATGTGATATTTCTTTTTTAGGCCAAGCGCTACGTGAAGAAGCATCTGTTCAGTGACACTGACACTGACCGCGGCACCACAGATGTTAGCTGGCTAAGAGAGTCCAGCAGAAAACCCAAACCCAAAGTGACCAAGTACCCCCGAGCTGCTCCTGCTAAAAGTAAAGTGGTACCTGCTCTACCATCATGTGAGTGTTAAGTCACAAACCACACAATTATCCCATCCTCAAATGTGTATAACTTCTTTTTTATTCCAACTATTCACCGGATTTACCTACAGCTTCCCCTGTACCTTTAAAAGACAAAACTAATGTGAAATCAATAAAGGTAAAATCTGTTCAAAAATCTGTCAAACTGCAGTTTTCAAAGTGACCATTGGTAGTCACTGTTCTATAATAGAAGGCTGTGGCCAAACCGCAGCAGAAAAAGGAGAAAGCTGCTCCAGCTGTGAGAGAAGCTCCAGCTCCCATCAGGAGGCCCTTTAGAGCAGCAGCCCACACCTCTAAACACTACAAGGAGACAGACAGCGACGAGAGCCAATCAGAGTCTGAGCTTTTCAAGGCAAAGCTTTTTTATTAGTAATTTTATAGTACTAGTAGTTAATTATGAGGTTCAAATAGTGCAAATATTAAAATACAGTTCATACATCTATTTTTCAGGTCATAAAATCAGATAAACCCAACGAAATTCAAGAAACAAACAAGAAAATGAAACAGCAATCTAGAAGCTATGTTGAGCCTGAGAGCAACAACAGCAGCCAGTCAGAATCTGAGGAGGAGCAACCATCTTTTTCAAAGGTAGAAAGGATTTGTCAAATGGGCTTATATTCAAAATTACTTGATTTGCATTGCCTTGTGATTACAAATAACCTGCATATTTATTAGATTATTTTGTAAAAAAAAATGTGAAAGAGTTTACTTTCAGTTGTAATAAAATAAATATAAAATGTTTGCACAAAACCTTTATCGTTAACTCCATACATTATTTTTGTGTGTGTGTGGAGAAGCAACACACCAACACTATTGGCAATTGTTCATTTCACAAGTGTTTTACAGACATTACAAGACTTATTGACTGCATAACCTATTGTCCACTCAGCTTTTTAAAAATAAAGACTAGGACAAAGTCCATTAGCATTAACCTGTCTAACTTATCTACTGTGACTTGAAAGATGTGCAAAGGTCAATAGTTAGTTATAAATGTATTAATACTTGCAGGTGTCATCAGCATTCCTTGGGGGTCTGATGCTAATTGTAGGCACTGCTCTGACGGCTCTGTTTTACTAGTTGGACTTTGTTTTAACACAGACCACAAAGAAATTTTAACTTGGAATTACAGATGATTTTGATTTGAGCTGTTAAAACAGTCCCTATCAAATAATATTACAGTTAGCCATTCTCGTTCTCCCTTTTTTGTTGAAAAACAACACTTTTGTTTTCTTTTAATGCCTTATTCTAAACTTGAGTAAAACTAGTATGAAGGCAGTTGTCCAGGGAGGAATATTTGAACTGAGGGTTGATGAAAGAGAAAATGGGGAACACTGTGTGGTTGATGTTGGTGATCACCAGCTGGTCCAGAGGGGTGAGCTACGACTGTGTGCATGTGAACATTTTGTCGAAGTTTGTTGCCCCTTTGCCGCACACTTTGGGTTTGAATGGCGGCTGGATCTCTCGGTTCTGGAGGAGGTCCCAGTTGATGAGTCGGAAGAAGGTGTGCTTCCGAATGTCCTGCTCATCAGTCCTTTACAAAGATTTACTGCTTCATGGAAAAGAGCCCTGGGATACCACACAGTGGACTCCACAATGGACCTGAACAGGTCATCTTCATTTTCTCCAACCAATGGAGACTCTCCTACCAGCATTTCATAGAGAAGCACTCCATATGCCCACCAGTCTAATGACTGTCCATATGGCTGGTATTTAATGATCTCTGGAACAATGTAGTCCTGGTACCACAGAAGGTGCACGTAGTTTCTCTGCATATTCTCCTTGCATATGCCAAACTCTACAGTCTTGATGTGTCCCTTGGAGTCGAGCATCACATTGTCTAACTTGAGATCTCTTTAGATGATCTCTTTACTGTGAAGGAAAAAGAGACCAAGGGCAGTCTCTGCTGCATAAAACACTGCTCCTTAAACTTGCCAACTTGTTGTATATGGTACGTCAAATCTCCACCATTTACATATTCCATAACAAAGTACAGACAATCCACTGTCTGAAAGTACAAGTGTAGGTATGAGAGGAAGGGCGGTTTGTCCTGGAGGGCTAGCACCCTCTTCTCCAGCACTCAACATCATTCTCCTGTATCACCACGTCTTTCTTCAGACTCTTTATGGCATACAACTCCTCTGTGCCCTTCTTCTCTGCCAACATAACTTTGCCAAGCACAGTAAGGAAGGAGAAGTCACTGAGTTGGACTTGGTTCATGATGGCAGAGGGCAACTGGACGGTGGAGTCAGTCTTTCCTGGGCTCATCTTGACTTTCTCAAATTTTTGCCTAAGTTGCTCATTTCCATCAACTTCCTGTGAGATTGGAACATTGTAATACTCGCCCTCCTCCTGGGACAATAACTTATACCAGCCACAGACTGGAGACTTCAAGAGCTCTGAGACTCCAAAAGCCAGGGATGCCATAAAGTCATTCCTGGTGCCACGGTCCCAGTCCCACATTTCGACAGTCTGCAGTCCTTATTTGATGGCTTCAGTTCAGAAGTGAATGTCTCGTTCCATCTCTGGTTGAGGCTGGAGGGGATGGTTTTGGTCTTCTGCTTTGTCTCATTTTTGGGGTCTGGTATGAGTTTGAGTTTAACATATGGATCTGAAAGTCCATTAGGGTCCATGGGAATGAGGTTCTTGCCCTCGCCAATTGTGATCTGCATTTTATGATCACTGACCTCCACCTTCAGGAAGATTCTGCCTCTCCTCTCAATGTGGTTGGTCCCACACATATTGGGCACATTGGTCATACACTTTTTGTGTTCATTCATATCACAGGAGTCACACTTCATCCCTTGGTGACCACACAGCAGCGACCCACAGTGGTCACAGAATGTGGCGCTGCCATAGATGTGCATCTTGAACTTGTGCTTTGCTCGAAGGTCATCTGTGTCAGGCCCCTCATCTGCCCCCGGGCAGCAGAATATGACAAGTTCATGGCACTGCTGGTGGACCACAAAACCACCACCACTCTGACCTGCAGCTGTTGGTACGAAGGCAGTGGAGAGTTGACTACAGTCACTGTCCCTGTGACTGAGGGTTTTTTCTGGCTCCGCGTACAGTGTGCTCTACAGCATCACAAACACACACTGATCCAGTACCACTTCAGCTTCATATCTGAACATAAAGTTGCAATGTTCTATATGTTCCTAATGGTGGAATATTTTGACGTTATCATGACACAATAATTAATGCATACAATAGCAAAATATTGTCTGAAAATTGCCTGCCTGTGATCAATTTAAGTGTTTATGGTTCTGTTTAGCTAGTTTATCACTGTAATTTTTTGTGAGATACAGTACAAATCAGATCACTTATTGTAGTTCCAGCTCAGCTCTAGTTCAGATTAAAGTCTAACAAAGCTTCAGAACAGAGCCTACAGTTAACATCGCACAAAGAAATCATGATTTGTATAAGTATCGCACTGTTGATGACATCAGCTGCAAAGTATTAATAGTGCTAATCTGAGCAATGACTGTGGTGTTATATTTTTGCATATCATTTTATTTTGTGTTTCAGCCAAACTATGTTGTAGACGAGATACCAAAACAAGAGAAGAAATTAAATGTGAGATCAGAACAAGCAAAGAAAAAACTAAATGAGGAAAATAAGTATCACAAAGCTTCGATAAAGTCATGTGAAAAGGTGAGCCTATTTTTGTAAGTTGTTTTGAGCATACTGTGTTCAATGTAAATGTTAAATATTGTTCTCAGCAGCAAAGTTTTATGAAAGGACTTTTAACTACAGGCTTTGCCTGTTTGTTGCTAGCATTGTGGGCACTGATTTAACTTTTCTTCTTGTATTCTCCACTAAAGCCTGTAAATGTTCTTAAAGAAAATGCCAATAACTCGACCCAGAAGAATAGAGCCCCAGTGAAAGAACATAGTGGGACATTGAAGGAGCCCTGGGCCCAACGCCAGGTCCTGTCCCCACCCCCTTCTTTTATTGAGAGGATGAGATGTAAGGCCAGTCACACAAATCACTGTTAGGTCAAACTCAGTCATTTTATTGTCCACAATATAAAAAAACTACTTATAATTACTGATGATCTGTATTTCAAATTTGATAAATATTCAAATAGTTTTGTTGCTGACCATTTTTTATATAGAAATGAGAAGAAATTTATTTTATGATGACCATAAAAATGTATATTGATTGGAGATTAGCTCTATAAACCTGAGAGTTAATGTTTGAGTAGAACTAGCCATATTACATATAGGTTTCTAAATTAGCCTTATGGTACTATTCAGAATCAGGTTTCAGAAGAAACTGGGTTTCTTGTTATCTAAATGGCTGTATTCACCTCTCACCTTTAAACTGGATATGTATCATGTATATATTGACCCCTGTGTCCACCAGCTGTTTGAGCATCTGTGCTTATTTTCATTTGTTGCAGCTGCAGAGCGGTCAGGCCCAAGCTTTGATTTGCCCTGTTCCCCAGTTTTGAGCCTGCAGGGGTCCCCTCTCACCGTGTCCCCAAACCCTTATGCCCCATCCCCCCTCATGCCCACCCTGTTGCTGCCCAAACTGCGCTCCACAGTTATCAGTGCAGAACCGTTCACAACGCCGTCTTTCTACAATGCAGAGAAGAGGAGCACCACGGGAATACAGTCCAGCAAGTCTGTGACCTCACTCTCCTCACTCAACCACAGTGGCCACAGCAAAGCCTGTGGAGCCATTAGAACCAAAGCAGTCCAGGTAAAACTACATACTTTAGATTACTTTGTGGTCTCATTTCCAACTCATGAATAGGAAAATACCAGTATTTTTAACATTACAGTTAAATAATAACACAATAATAACACATTCTATATTGTTAAGATCCTGGGTTTACAACATGTTTTTATTGACTAGGGGACTGCATAATATATATATTTTTTTGCTGCTTTTCAGTCCAGCCAACATGCAGAAATTACTTTTATTAAGCAGATTTAGCTTGTGTTCATATTTACACAAACACCACATTAAAATTGGTGTCTAAATCCAGAGTCTAAAACTGGAATTATACCTGAACTAGATCAGGACTAAATCAGGAGTAGAACAAGACCAAACCAAAGTCTGTATCCGAAATAATCCAACTTCAAACCAGGACCAAACAAGTACAAGTAATGTTAAACTTTTAAAATATTATGATAATAATTACATAAAAGACTCATTTGAATTTCATTTTACCACTTAGATTAGATTGATTAGATTAGAATTGGCCTCGGTCAAAAAGAGTATCTACTCCATCTTAAAAACCTGTGTCACATTCATATATGACTGTAGAAAGTTAGCAGATACTAGATAGATATAAATGAGATGGATATTATAGTAGATGCGAACAGATACTATCCTTATATTTTATTTCTGCATCTTTTTTTTTTGTTACACACCCTCTCTGTGGTATATTGTCAACTATTACCTTGGTTCCTAACATGTGCCAGATAAAAACGTAGATTTCTACCAAGTGGAATGTATAACGTCTGACAGCACAGTGTGAATAATGGCCACAAGAATGAGCTGTGAATCACTGGATGACTGAAGCCTTCAGAGCAGTAACCTGGAAACTGAGGAGTACAGGCCCATGACCCAAACAGAGCCGGTCGAAATTCCCACACCAGACGAGATTTCACGAAAGTTTCTGCTGCTAAGCTGTAATTATGTATTAGACACATTCTCTGAGGAAAACAAAAAGTTGATTTTGAGTGATTGAAATGACCTACATAAGTCAGACGTGTCTTTTAATAGCTTCTCCATTTTTTTCAGCAGAGCGTAATATTGCATTATGGAAAGCTTTTACCCTTTTATCATTCACTATTACTAAAACTTGTGTGGCCATTACTTAACAAACCCGTCATAACCCATTTTTCTGTTTTATATTTCTAGAGTCCGGTGCAGCCGGATGTGTTTTCTCAGTCTCCTCTGTCTCTGTCGCGGCCCTTAATGACATCCACTCTGGTCAATCAGGACCAGGCCACACTGCCCTCTCTACCCCCCTCAGTGCCCCCCTCTCTGCCTCCCTCCCCGCTCCCAGAGGTGCATAGCAGCAGAGGCTCTCAGCACAGCTTGACTAAAATGTCTCCTGTCTCTGAGGTCTCTCTAAATTTTCAGTCCAGTAAGTCATCATTTACAGGCAAGGTTGTGGAGAAAGCCAGTGTCACTTTGAGGACAGAGGTATGTTGGATAGTAATTACTTCAAACTAACTGTAACTACACTAATTTACACCACCAATAAAGTCTAAAGTTATTGTGGTAAAAGAAGACAACTTTAGGTCACAGTATGTGACCTAAAGTTGTGTATGAAATGTAATTACAAAGTTTGTACTTGAGGTAGGTAGGAGAATTGTAATAAGTGTAGTGTAAAATAAATGAAAAAAAAGAACAAAGCCAGTACTGCTCAAATAGCTATGTTTAACTAGATTAATTCTAACTAGATTAATTCACATGATTTATAAAAAGCTTTAGTTTTGTACTAAGAAATTTGCAAATTCATTGTTGTAAAAGAATAGAACAAACCCATTAACAGATTTGATGGTTTTGAAAGACCATGATTGCTAGACAAATTTCACCTTAAAAATAAGACCCAGACAGCCATCTACAACACAGCACAACTGTTTACTAAGCAGTAATGGAAAGCAATTTACAACAAACAAGCTTCTAATAATACATACATATGTGACACCTCTGTTAGTCTTATTCCCAAAAAGTGTTGTTTTTATCAATTCATAAATGTAACTCAGCATGTTTCTTCTTTAATTGAATATTTGTTTGTCTTAAATTAATAAAATGTGTAACTTCAGAAAACACCATTAAGGAATGAAAGCCTCACCTCTATGGAGGATGTGGCATCAGGTAATACTTATAAATAAACTTTCTTCTGGTAAATAGTAGCTTATGCAGTTGCTAAACATAGCATTTGTGCCACAGGTCCCAGTCGTAAGAGACACAAGTCATACTCCTCGTCCAATAACTCAGATGAAGAAGACAAAGAACAGATGAAGAAAAGCAAAATGAGAACACAGCACTCTCCTCGAATGAAACCTAGGAAACTCTTTAAATCTGGTCAGTCTTTTCACCTTATTATGACCTTATTTTCACCTAGTTATTTTCCCATTCACTGCAGTGTTATCAGGTCAAGTTCCTTAAAGGTTTTATATGTAATGTTTCTGGTTGAGGGTCCGCCACCTGCTTGCTCCATGAAGCTGTTTAACTTAGCCTGGAAGTTCCAGAGTTGCCAGCTGTGGCATCAAATGTTTCTATCTCCAAGGACATAAACAGGTGACATCACAGATCAGTGTAAACGGGGGTGACCTGACTCACAATAAGAAAGCATGTTTATGTTTGTTTTTAACAACAAAATGCCTGCAATGAAATTAAGTAATTGTAATAGGTAAATTTAATACCATACTGTGGAACATTCCAGGCAAAGCAATAACATATTTATGGAGACAAGCAAGTAGCAGAAAAGTGGCATAGTGTACCATAAAATACAGTATTGTTGTAATCATAAGTATTCTTTTTGTTTAGTTTTTTAATAGTACATTGCCTCTTCAACCATCATCATTATCATAACATAATCACATACACATAAAATAATATATATTTTCACTTTTCCAGCATGTAAAGCTCAAGATCTGACAGAGAGCTGGAAAGACCAAAGCACCATAGAAGAGGCCAGCAGAATGAGCAAGCCTAAAGCTGCAAAGAAGAAGTCAGCAGAGGGAAACGTCAGTGTTAAAAAGAAAAGCGAGACATACATTCATGAAGACACAGGTAAACAAACTCAGACTTAAATACTCATTGTTGAGAACATTTGTTGAAACATTTTTGACTAAGGCTGTGTCTTGTTGTGTTCTAGTTTCAGCTGAGCACGGTGTGAGCCAGGTTCTGTCCTCCTCCTGCACAGTGGTCAGTGGACACTGGGATGCAGATGTGGAGGATGGCGAAATGGATGAGGATTTGGACACACCCGGACTGAACCCACGAGAAATGTGCCGAGAGTTCTCCTGCAAACTTCAGCAGAAGTTTAAGGTAGGACACTGGGCTGGTACAATGGGAAGCAATAATATGAATGCAAGTGAGAAACAGGAAACATATTAATGTAAACTGTAAATGTAAAAGTTACCATGTATTTGTGCATCTTATACACTATGAATTTTAGTACAATTTATTCTGTAAAAATGACCAGTCAGTGCCTATACCACCAACTATGGACCACTGATGACTTGCTGACTTGTGTTGGACACTCCGTTTACTTGAAGATCCAAATAGAAAGTGTTGTGGAACCACCAGACAAACTTTTTATTATAAATCATAAATCAAATGTTTTGCACTAGTCTCAGCTCTTTGATCCTGTTGTTCTTCCTGTTTTCACATGTGTTTTCTTCAGAGTCGATTCAAGATGGTGGAGGTTTACAACAAACACTCTTTGAAGACGGTCCAGCAGCAGATTTCAACAATCAATTCTGAGGTTGCCAAGCACAGGTTTGTCCCAGTCAATATTTAACAGTGTTTGTCTCTGTGTTTGTCTCTGCTCCTTCTTTGCTGTAATGTCCCTGTCTGTTTTTAGGGCGCAGGGGCTGGAGCAGGTGCAGAGGGTTCTTTTGGAGGAGGTCCATACACTGGAGCAGAACGACACTGTGCTGAAAAACATGGAGAACGACCTCACTGTGGGTCCTTCCGCCTGACACTGACTCACATGTCTCGTACAGCCCAAACACATGGCACAGATAAGCACACATATGGGAGACTTGCATAATAGTGATTTCAGGATTATTTGGTTACCAATATTTGGTCATCAATAATCGGGATTATAATCATATAATCATAAGAACTAAAAATAATATTTGTGGGATTTTAAGTAGTAAACCTAAATGCAAACTGCTCTTTATCTGTCATTTTAACTTCACATTTACTAGGGGCGTGGTAGTCAATTAGATAATGTGAATGACAGCAAAATAAGATTTTCACTGTTGTGACCAGAGCAGACATGACTAAAGAGGGTTTTCAGTGACTCACAGAAAAGTAGATTGTAGATTCAGCCTGTACATAGACTGGTGTAAATTACAGTATATTTCGTCATGGTAAAATTTTAATTTTAATTAAATTCAGGATTCATAATAAATTGAATCTGCCTGGCTTTTGAATTGACTTGTTTGTCTGCAAAAGGCTAATAAAATACTATTGTGAGACCTCCGATGTCAGGTCAGGCGAGGATTTAATACAAGTAAAGCTAAAGTAACAGCATTCTCTTTGTTTATGCTCATTTGTTTATATAATCTTTGGGAAACTGTGTATTTGATCACGATCTCCATTTTCAGATGCACTGGAACAAGCAGACCGTGGCCTTCTGCTCTTTACAGAAACATGAGAAAAGAAGGTAAACTTGGATGTGGTTCAGTCTGTTGGAGCACAGTGTCAGGGCAGGTCCCACTGACAGTGAACTCAAACACTCTGTCGAAGCATGAATAGAACTCTTGTAAAACATGGATTCAAGGAATTAGCTGAAAAATGTACTTCTCCTCAACAAAAGAGTTCAGCATCCACTGGTAGCTGCTATTTTGGGGGAAGGATGTGGCTCATACTTATTCTTATGACAGGGAAATTAACAGAATATTTAGTTTAGTAGTTAGTGTTTGTGTTCCCACTACAGATCATTAAGTATCTCAGTCTATACCACATCAAATATATGCTCCACATCTTTTTTTATTTTTTTAATAGTTTTGCCTCAGAAATGCTGTTCTTTGAGGGCCCCCTAAGACATATTGGTAAAGGTAATATATGGCTATTTAAAATGTTAACATTAACTTCGACTTGAAGGTACATTATGTAACTTTTCTGATTGGAGGGTGTACGACCTGCTTGTCTCCATAGCAATGTTACTTTTTTGCCTGTAGTGCTCCACTGTATAGCATTAAACCCATCTATATCCATGAGGACAAGCAGGTGAAGCTTCTATACAGTAGCTCAGGTGAGCTGGTCAGATCTGTGAAGAGGCGAGTCCACTCACAGTGAGAATCCATGTTATTTTAACTATTTTAACAGTAAAACTCTGGTAATTGAATAAATGCAAGATATACATGTTTAATGCTTTGCTGTCACTGTGGAAGATGCTAGGTGAAAACAATGTACACATGTGGTGTACTCTCCTCCAGAAAAGTTACATAGTGTGCCTTTACTCTCACAGTTTTTTAGGATTTTAATGAATTAATTAATTTGGCTTGAGACTCAGTTGGATATAGATGATGCAAAAACCCACATACCGATGCTAAAGAAGTTAAAGTTTTGCGTTAGTCAGTCAGATTTTATATTTGATGTTACTTGGTGAATGATAGTTTGATAAAATGTTTATGCGAATGTCTAATCAAGAAATAATAAATTAATTAATTAAATAAACCCATTGAACACTCACATATAATTTAATAAGAAGAACTATAAATAATAAAATATAACCCAAACTCCCCAGACCATAAGTGCTCAAGGACTGTAGCTTTTCCCTCCTGATTTGAGCTCTGACTCATGGACAGTGAGTCACAAGTCTGTTCATCTGTTCAGTATTGTCCTGTCAGCTCCCTCTATCACTGTTTGTGTCTTCACATTTGTCTGGTTTATCTGCTACTTATGTAAAGTTGGACCTCGGGGAAGTTTCTTGGCCTTTTTATCATGTTGTTCACTTGCAGAAGCCTGCCTGTTGTGTAAAAGTCCAGAAGTGTGAAAAAGAAAAAAAAAGAAAAGTCATTTTAATCTTATGGATTTTTGTATTAAGACTGAACTTTTAGGCTTGGCATGATAATTATTATATTGACTTATATATATATATGTGAACAATAAGTACAAGTATAAACAATATTTTTTCAGACTCATTAATCGCGTGCAGCTTTTCTTTGCACTAATAGGGCATTTGTTGTAGAATTAGGCCTGTGTAATAACATTTGAGCTGCAGTTGCTTGAATAATTAACATCTATGATATAGTATACATAGTATGTGCAGTGGGGCGCCAGTGGCAAAAAAACTGTTGTTGTGTCCTTAGGCAAGACACTTCACCCACATTGCCTATTATAAAAGAGGTGTGAGCGTGAGTGATGGTGGTGGTCGGAGGGGCCAATGGCGCAGATTGGCAGCCTCGCTTCCGTCAGTCTGCCCCAGGGCGGCTGTGGCCACAGTAGTAGCTTACCACCACTGAGTGTGAAGTGATTGAATAATGAACTGTAAAGCACTTTGGGTATCTTGAAAGACGCTATATAAATGCTATCAATCAATATCAATCATAGTAGAACTAACTACTTAAATGTTTTATTGGGCTATTTATCAGTAGTTTAAATGCGTTTCAATGTTGTGATGTTTTTCACATTATTGTGACAGACCTATAAACAATTACATCACGTATTTCTCAATTGCTAGAGTTTTAGTTTTGACATACTAAATTTCTTCTTCAAAATCTGATTGGTTTGTCGTTTCGATGTAAATTGAATACAATGGCCCATTTTGAAATGTACTGGAGAAATATGCACACATTTTTCTCATATTTTGTGTCCCTGTATTATGTGTGTTATGTGTGTGTGTTATGTGTGACTTTAACTTCACTTGATCTGTTTTTTTTTTAACCTTGTACAAAGAATGCATTTCCATTTTTTGGGGCTTGCATTGTGATCTTGCTTTTCATTTCTTCTTTTCAGAAACGATGTTCTGAGAAAAACACTGCAGAACGTGTGTCACAGCCTGGAGTACGAGGAGCGAGTTTTCACATCCCAGGTCTGGTCTGGCGCTTCACACTTACAGCCTCTTATAAACGTGTTGCCTACATGGTAATAATAGTCTTGCAATTAGCTCTTGAGACTTGCACTCTAAAACTGAGTCTTTATAAATATCCTACAACATCAACACCTCTGATGTGACGTTTCCCCCTTAAAGGCTCAACAATTTTGGGCACATTTCTGGCATTACAATTAGATTTGCAGTTCATGTTTTAGTAGTAGGAGTCTGTTCACATTTTAAACAAACACAAATACTAAAATAGGAACTGACTAGACTAATACATTTCTAATACTAATCACATTTGAGAACAAAGGTATGGATTTTTATGCAGAATATGATTTTTGTTTGTGGAAGAAATTATAGTACTTATAGTACTAATTACAGCCTTTTCGATTTCCTAATTGCGTCCATTCAAATTGCGATTTCAACTTGATTTCGATTTATCTTGCAGCTCTTGTTATTAGCTATAGGACGTGATTCTTATCTAATGGTTTATTATTATGTCTGAGTTCTGTTCAACTGGAGCCTGAGTTCTGCATTGTCACCGCTGCTGTGTGTTTTCAGATGTGTCTCATAAGGAAAGACATGAAGTCAGCTCAGGACAGACTGCTCACTGAAATGGTAAATATCTTTTATACATTTCAACACATTATATGCGTCATTCAAATGTCAAGATTTTTTTTTTTTTATAACTTTAGAATACAATTTTAGATGTGGCCATTTTGTTTGGCCATATGGTATTTAATGATCCAGTAATGTATGAATCAAGATGTAGCAGGTTGATTGTAGTCATAGTAGTCAAAAAAATTGCACTTCCTAAATTACACTTTAGGAAGTCATCACTGCAGTCATTTCCAACCAGAGGTGCAAGGACCAGAATGATCACATTTATAAAAATGTTTGTAGTAATTTAAAGCAATAAAATAACATAGCAATAATAATAAAAGTTTAATAGTAATAAATGACTATTTCCTAGTGAACAAATTACTATTACTAAAGGATCCCCAGTACACATCTTATGGGGTACTCAGAGTGTGGGACCAAGGTGTAAAAATAGTATGTTTTTGCAGTTGAACAGTTTTAAAGATCCTACTGTACTGTACTGTACTGTACTGTACTGTACTGTACTGTACTGTACTGTGCTTACATTTGTTTTTGTAATACATTATTATTGTTATAGCCAGTTAACAATTATATTACCTTTTGTAATTTTCTGAGCCTATCATTTACACAGTTTTCTATTTCCTGTTTATAGCACGAGAGAGAGATACAGAGCATCAAGAGAGGTCTACACGCCCTGTTTTTTCCTGATGCAACCAGGTTTTAACGTGAAAAATCCCTTTGAGCTTCTCCCCTCCAAGGTTTAGTAAGGCCATGTCCTTGCAATGACACAACTGATGGTCTGCCTCAAATATGCAGTTTTTATTTGAAAAGAATTATCTGGTATTTTTACGAAGTATTCACACAATCTTTCATGTTTTAATGTTCGGATTTTATTACATATTTTGGTTGCTCTGGTTTCGTGTTATCTTGATAATACAACAAATATGTGTTACTGCAAGTAAAAGTGAGGATTCTAATGGCCTGTTCTGTGACTTGAATATAGTTTATTCATATATTTATGCAAATAGGTTATGAGAGAGCTAATAAATTTAATCTGTAATAGTGTTTCCTATGTTTGCATTTTAATTGAGAGTTTTAAGAAAGAGACACAATTCTTACAAAAGATCTTGTATTTTGAAGACAAGTGGTGCTTACAAAGGTATTCTCTTTTCAGTAAGGACATTGACTTTGTCCCAATCATTGACATACTGTATGTACAGTTCATATCAAACCCTGTCCCCATCAGACTGCACAGTTCTCACAGTCCCAGTGACACATTATTCAGGTAAAAAAAGTGAAGCTGGTCACATGCACAACTTCGTCGACTACACGGATCACGCCGCCTCGTCAAAGGAGTCCATGAAATAGTACAAAATGAACAACACTGACAACACTGTATCCCTCTGCCACAGAGGCAGATGCTCCTTCAGTCCATTGAGTGGCAGCTTTAAGTGGTCTCCAGGACACTCTGCCACAAAACCTCCTCCTCTTCCTCAGACCCTGCCTCCTTATGGTACAGCGGCTAAGGGCACTAGAGGAATGCTAAAGACACCGAAGACAAGGAGGCTCCAGGCTCTTTGAACTGTCAGCTCTGAGCAGCCTTCCACAGCCTCAGAAAACCTCTAAGACCTGCATTTCTTCACAGAAGAAAGCTCTGCATTCACGGTCGGTGGAACCTGCAACAGAAAAATACAAATATATTATGTTAGCATGTTGTAAATGCAGCATACCCTTCACAGCATACAGTTATAACCTCAGCGGTTGTTCTATTTATAGAACTGTGCTCATAACATTAAGAGCCGCTTTTCTCATGTGCTCTTGATCATTGTTCCATGTCATTGTGGACCTCTTGCCTACCGCTCAGGCTTAGCCAAGGACGCTAGCATTCTATAATCTTTCTTTGTTCAGCTGAAGGAGATCTCCTAAGGACACCCTCTACCACCCCCATCCTCCTCTCTAGCGCCACTCCCATCTATGTTTAGCTACACGCTGCTCTTAGACTAGAAGAGGGAGCTAAAAATAACTCTCTGTAGCCAAGAATAGATCATGCAAACATGCCATTGAACACATAAACACTGCTGTCCAGTCCGCTGACCTGGTTAGATGTTTGCTGGATGCGTGCACTTCCATCTCCGTGCTTTTGAATTCGTTCAGCTCTTTTCTGATTGCCGCCTGCAGAAAAGAGGAACAGAGCTTTAGTGAATGATACTACACAAAACAAAACACAGTCAAGTGAAGATGATAGTCAGTTTATGGGTGAGTTTGAGGCTCAATTTGTGGATTAGGCAAATAAAAGTACAGTTGGGGTCAAAAGTCAAAATTTTCCCTGAGGCCCTACAGTCATCCTTCATATTGTTTCCTCATACACTGGGCCTTACTTAACAGCTTCATACTTGTTCAGTAATATTGGGTAGAGACTGACCTTATCAGCTGCTGAGAGCCGGGTCCAGGGCTTGTCTGCTCTCCGGTCGTAGTCCTGAGCTTTGGCCACTTCCACATAGTCACTAAAACGGATTAAAATCTTTCTGTCTCGCAGTTCGTCCACTGTCGGCCGCTGGTTTAACTGCAGAAAAAATGAAATTAATTAGTGTAAACATTCACCATATGATTTGTCATAGTTATTTCCAAAAATTGTATCATGGTACCTTTCTATTTAGTCTCTGTTTAATCTCCCGTCTCTCCTCTTGTTCTGTCTGGTCGTTCCTCTCTGAAATCACATAAGAACAATTTGTGAGAATCAGAAATTCAGCTATACAACATTACATTTCCACTGTGTCTATAACTATTAACATGTTAAAGTCCAATTTATTTGAGTGTGGATTCATGTGGCTTTAAGAATTGAAGGTCTCAAAACAATCTGTCATACAGTTTTAATGTCCTATAGTTCACCTCAATGCTGTGAACAGTGCGCACCCATGCGTACTCCAGCTTTTGAATTATGCACCATATTAGCCACCATAGTAAAGGCAAAGTAGCACAATTTAAACTCCATACACTTCTTCTGTTGCAATATCAGTAAAATGTAAGTTAGCAAAATGTATTATTACTCACGTTTGAGGATGTTCCGACTCTCCAGCTCCTCCACATTTGGTCTCTGGCTCAGCCGCCTGCGGAGAAACACCAGAACCACGTTTTGAACCATTTTGGACTCTTGGAGGTCCCACTTCTTCTATAGCCTGAGTAGTACTTCTTTCCTAATTGTACGCGTCCGGCAAAGGAATCTCCTATGTCTCCACCTCGCATCCAAAGCGCGGCTGTGATACTTAGGCAGAGGCACTCCCCACATCTGGATAGTTTAGCAAAGAACTAATCTCTTCTGTTTTAAGGCACGTCCTCGATGTAAAGGCATTACAGAAGAAACAGTCCCCTGCTCCCAGATCCTCTCTCTGCCGCTGCTCTAGCTTTTTACTACGAGTCCTGCGCTCCGGGAGCTTTTGAAGCGGGTCGTGAGGATGGGCTGCCCTAGTCTCCCTGGTTACTGCATACATAATGAGCACTGGGTGGAGCTAGAGAGGCATCCCCAGCCCCTGCCTGCCTTTCTGCTGCTCTGTCTACACTGGGCTACTAGCACACTCGCTCACACGACTGTGAGGTAAGAGCTCTGCATTAGGCTGCAAGTCACGCTTTCTCAGGATTTCAGCCATTTTGGTAAATAACTGAGCCACTTTGGCAAAGAGAGTATCTTATAAGAACAGTAGCATAAAATATATATCAAATGATAATAATTATGAAACCACCCCAGTTCAAAATGTAGCCTATACACATATTCTTCAGTTTTAAATAGCATATAGTAGGGCACTTTATCAAATTTAAAATTGCTAATTAAAATGTAAATGATTACTTCATTCAATTGCAGAAATATAACTCTGATCTACTTAGACTTTATAACATAAGTGTCACAAAACATTACTATACTAGGTCTGTACTGTCTGCCCATCTTTATTTTCAAGTAAGTTATTTTTGAAACAATCGTGATTTTAATTTTGTGTCAGACTATAATTTTTAGAATTTGCAGTATTACTTGAACATTAAGCTTTGACTAAACACATTTTATATAGAAATTATATCAAAGCCCAATGTACATTTGTTCAATTATGATCCAAATGGGCTACAAATATGGCTTTTCTAATATTGTTCTTTCCCTGTGGAGACATTACCATCCCACACATTTCTTCCATCTTGTCACTTGTTGCCACTTTAATGAGGTTACCATGGCAGCGCTGCCTTGAAGCTGAGAAAGACTTATTTACAGCCTAAAATAAGATGGGCCTATGTTTTTTGCCATTTACACTGGATGGGTGTTAAGTCAATTTTAGGCTACTTTAACAATACAGTATAGTCAAAAATGTCATATAATTGTTAAGTATTAGGGAACAACTTGAAATTATGTAACTCATGTCAAAGTGACACTCGGCCTTGAAGCTAGTTACCTTCTTCTCTTGAATCGTGATGTTACCATCTATTTATCCTTCTAATCACTATTCTTTAGTCTATATTATAGGTAGGCTTTTGTGTAAATAATACAAAGTAGCACAAAGTATATTGTAAGGCTGTTTTAAAATTACATTTAATTACTTCTTCCACTGGCATAAATATAGACTTAGACATAAACTTTGATCCACAAGGGAAATTATTTGGACACAGTAGCTCACACATTATAATATAATAACGAGTAAAGAGTAAAAATATAAATGTAATAATACATTCTAAATAAGGAGCACAAAAGATAGCAAAAAGATATATGTGATATATAGCTAAAATTAAAGGTGAATGATGTAACATTCCTGGTGGAGGGTTTGCCACCTGCTTGTTTCCATAGAGATGTTATTGCTTTGACTGGAAAACTATGTCAGTAAAGTATCTCCATTGAGACAATCAGGTAAGGTACTCACAAAAAGAAAGCATACTGGTATTTTACAGAAATAAAAACACCAGTAACTAAAAGCAAATACATGGTGCTGTGCAACTATTCATCAGCACATAATGTTCAGAGAGATTTAAGTCAGTGTTATTTGTCTGTGCTTTTTGTTTACAAAAAGTCCTGGCACACCTCCACTTCCCGTACCCCTTTACAACCCTAAATAACATTTGTTTTAAGTCTGTCCAGTTGCATCCTGTTCAAAGCACTCTAAAGGACCCCCAAACCCAAAGTGTCTCTTGTGTGAACTGGACTTAAAATGAATAATAAATGCAGGTGCGCGGGCTGTCCCGGAGCACACCTATGAAGGGCAGAATGTCACATCACAGCAGGTCCTCTCTGCGCCTTCATCCTAACAGTGCAATGGACACTTTATAGTTGTGTCCTTGGACAGCTTCAAAGTTAGGTCACACTCACAGGACTGGACACGTGCCAATAACATGATACAGATGATGATAGATCAGTGAGAATGTATCAAGATAAGAAATGTGTGATCCAGCTTTTTCAGTTGTGATACCGATTCCAATACTACGGAGAAACCGATACTAGTGCAGCAGTTAAAAACATTTTAACATTTATTTCCTTAAAACTAAAATAAAATAAGACAAAACTGATCCAAATGTGTTATGGAGCTGTTATTTCTCTCTCAAGTAACTACAGAACAGCTTTAGAAATAAAAGTTCAAACATTCTGAGACTTTCTGAGACGACTACACCCAGTAATTAATCTTATTACATCGATTTACGTGTCCAGCCAGGATATCGGCTGAACCGATATTTTGAAGCTGACATCCGATTCAGCAAATTTCATCACTGATCCCATCCCTAATTAAGATAATTAAGATTTTAAGATTTCAATATTTCACAAACATAGAGTATACAGCATAGAGTGTATGATTTGCACTGTCATTGGTGCCACTTGATATAAACGTAAAGGCACTACATAGTCTATATGTGTATAGTATAATGTAGTATGTATTTAAGCAGTGGTTCTTAACCTGTGGTACAAGTACGAATGGTGGTACACAATCTCCATCTTGTAGTATGTGGATTCTTTTGTAGTTCTAGTAGAAACCTGGATTAGTCCTGTTATAAACTTGCTGCAGATCTGGTGGTATTATGAAATCCACATATTTTTGTAGGTGGTACTACTCAATGGTCTATAGTCAATTGCTGTACAGCAGGGATCTTCAACCTGTAGCTCCGGAGCTACTAGTAGCTTTACACCGCCTTCCAAGTAGCTCACCATGGGATTTCTGAATTATACATATTGCGCTGAATAACTAAAATCTGATTGATTCAATGCCTATTTTCTTTGTAAATGTATAGTTTAGATACCTAATTTTGTTCACTGATAACTAGATAATGGGTCATGTTTTATAGACATCTAATTTTACCTCTTTTTCAGCTCACCATGGCTCTTATATTTACTACATTTCTGGTGACCGCTAAAATTAGTAGCTCTCTGGCATTTTCATTTTACAAAATGTAGTTCACAGGAGGAAAAAGGTTAGAGATCCCTGCTGTGCAGTATATTTGTCCTATAACAAATGCTACTCAATAATATGGCTTCATTTACACGTTTCCAATAGTAGCCTATAGTCCATGACACTGATTATTCACTTCTATAGCCACAGTTGCCTTGAGGCTGATTGACACAGAAATGGCTATCAGTCTGCTCCAATGGTCTCTCCAATCACCAATACACATATTAGCAATATGATAATCTTGCCTAAGGACACAATGAGTATGCAATGTTAGTAATGGGCATTTAACAGGCAACCTTGTAGACGCTGTTTAAATCCAGACTCAAAACATTTCTGTTTAACTGTGCATATAACTGAAAGGTTTTCAATCCGCACTCCTCTCTCCAATTTATGTCTCTCTTTTTTAATTTTAATCTTCATGATTATTTATGTTTTGATTTGTTTTTATTATGATTTTAATGTATTTCTTATTCTGTAAAGCACTTTGAATTACTTTGTGTACGAATTGTGCTATACAAATAAACTTGCCTTGCCTTGCCTTGCCTTGCCTTGTGTTCAGTAGGAGATATCTATACCAGCTGAACTACTGCAATGAACAATTAAGAACGTATTAAAGAATTAGTAGTATAGGCCTCCAGCAGGAGATCTTACATTGTGTTTTCTAATTAGAGATTTGTTCATTTTATTACCCCTCTTTAAATCAACCTATATTTTTCAGTCTAGGGTAACAAAACTGTTTACTGGAATTTATGGCTGGTGCTATTTTTAGCCACTCCTAACATTGTGTGTAATGACTCACTGACAAATAGGTCTTTGTTAATTAGCACATACGACTGGACATCCAAGAATACTGTAAGTAATTACTTGGTGGTGGTCTCCAGTGTATTTATGGTAAATATGAGAAATCTAAAAATACATGCAACTAAAATAAACCATAATTTCTATTTGCAGATTTTACTCATCACTACACAGAAGGAGGATAATTGGGTGATAGGAATTTCACAAGGGTCCATTTGAAGTGGTCACATATTTGTGAGGGGGGAAACCCCAAATTTCCACAAGAAAAAGGGGAATTCTTAGAGGAATATGAGAATGCTTCTAAAATCATTGGATTTATTGTGATCTATCTATTCTACAGTATTTTTTCTCCTGGCATACACTGGGCTTGCTGGCTTTTGATGTTCAAAAGATAGGCGTAATGCAGGGTTTGTTTGTGGTACATATTTTCAAGACCTGAGATCTCTAGTGAATTTAACCTTCATGTCTTGGGTTTGTCGTTTAATGTTATGAGATATTTTGTTACATCTGTAATACAGTAGAATGTTATTGTGAGATGTACTCTTACTTGAAATGGGCTGTCAAAAATAATTGTAATAATTAATACAAAAAAACTGTAGAGAAAACATTTGAAAAAGTACAGTATTGATACATTGCCTGATAAATCCTGATGATATCTCTTTTTATACAGGCAGATATCACCCTCGGTCGCGCCTCAAGCCCGGTCAAACCCAGATTTATTATTTTTTTCTCTAGATTAAGAAAGTTTAGTGCCTCGCTCATGAATTCTACAGAAATCTGTGATGTTTTTTCATTCCCTGTGAGATTTCTTTCCCTTTATTTTTTTTTTTTCTGATACAACAGACAGTGCTCGTCCCTGATTGGCTAATCCACCTCTCAATCAGGGCCGTCTGAAAATGGGGAGA